CCTCCACCTCCACCTCCACCTCCACCTCCTCTATCTCCACCTCTTCCTTCTTCTTTCTCTTCTCCTACCCCTTTCTCCACCTCTTCCTCCTCCACCTCCATTACTTCATCTTTCACCCCCTCGCCCTCTTCCTTCCTTTCTCTCTTCTTTTCTTTCTATGCTTGCTATCTTTTTCCCCACTTCTCGTCCTTCTTCCTCCTTCTCCACTATCATCTCTTTCGTTCGTTTTCTAAACAATCGTCTGACTTTCCCCGTTTCATTCTCTCTTCCCTTCCCTTCCGCTCGTTCCCTTCCTCGCGCGTCTCTGGTCTTTCAACGAGGGACCTTTCGCCTAAGGAATATCGCAGTCAGGTGAGTGATAAACGATACAACTTCCTTCGCACCAGGATGGGAAGAGTGTCTTGGCAGGGGCGTTGCGTCGCGTCGCGTCGTGTTATTGCCGCTTGCCATAGAATGGGCATTGCTCCGATGAACTTCTCGCAACAGAGGGAGAAAGCGACGCACAGGGAGAGGGAATAGAGAGAGAGAGAGAGAGAGAGAGGAGAGAGAAAGAAGAGAGAAGGAAGCGAAAGTTTTACGTGGATACACGACAACGTACTATTACCCGCCGAATCTTGAACGATCGTATTGTGCACGTGAACCATCGTCTCTCGAGATATTTTGGTGGAGAGCAGCGGAACACTTGGAGGAGAATCTACCACTCTGTTGCATCCTTCGGGTTCAAGTATCGTCAGCGAGGTTTACGCGGTTGGATATTATCCTGTGAAATCCGAATGGAAACAAGTCTCAGGACCGCATAGGCGCTAGTATTTTTCACGCGAATGAAGCACAAACAGATACGATGGCAAAAGTGTTTACGAAGTCTGCGACGATCGGATAATCCACCTTGGGACAAATACGGAGATTACGATGCGCTCAGAGCATCGATCAAACGAGTGAAGTGTTGTGCGTGTTGTGGAAAGAACGTACCCGTGAGAATAATAGGATATTTTTTTAGGCAAATGCAAGTGTTGTATTCGCGTGAAAGAGTGACACGTGAAAGTTGTATCCACGTTGATGATTTCCCGTGGCAAGTGCGAGAATCGTCTCGCACACGGAAATGAACGGGGAAAAAGTGCACAGATTACCCGGGGTATCGTTCTTCCGCGCATACCAAATGATCGAAGTATAATCGGGGGTTGTGTGCATGCGTATGTCTGCGAGCGTGAACAAGAATCCCGTAGAACGTCTGCGAAACCGCCGCGGCATCCACATTATCAGACTTCTCCTCTTCACGTTCGTAAACATTCGACAAGCATGCCTTATCTTAGCCGCTTAAACCCCGCTGTCAGATAATCGTAAACCCATGTATGCTTTCCAGTTAATCGCTAATTGAATCGTAAAGTCGTAGATTGACGCGCGTGTGTGGTTACCCGATGCATCGAGATGCGTCCATCGTTCGGGCTCGTCCAAATCTCGCGAGCAACCGTTCGTCGCGCGTAACGTAACCTACGACACACGACAAAGGGACAAAGAAGAAACACGAGATCGTTCGTAAAACGTGTCGAGACGTTTGAGAAAAATAAGAGTCGGAAAACGTCTCGGATTTGCCTTGTGAAATAATCGAAATTCCGTGATATGGCATATTCTCGGCACCGGTTCGAGGAGCACGTGGTGACCAGAGTCGCAATCCCATTCAGAAAGGAGGTTATGTAGCGTGGAAAAGAAGAGAGAAAGGTTATGCTCGTGACGCCCGTTACATTATCAATTCCGTTATGACGCCGTATTCGTAATAGCGGAGACGACCCTACGACCATCTTCGGGGATTCCCCCGTAGTACATTCTCCTCTCCGCTTTTCTTCTCTCCTTTCTCTCTGTTTTACACCGCACGCCTCCTCCCTACCTAAACCCTTCTCGTCTTCTCCCCTTCGCCGCCCGTCTCCCCATTCGGATCTCTCACGCGTTCCCTTGCTACCACGGTCTTTCGACTCTTCTTTCAACGGCGAGTCTCTTCCTACGGGTGTATGGCTGTGTTACGTGTATATACCTTGCTATACCGTCCGTTGGTACGGTCTCGTACGGACCAACCTCCAGCCACCACTTCGCGTCCTTCCTGTTCTCGTGAAACGTTTCCACGGTCGATCTTTTTGCGGATTTACGCCTGTTGGACTTCTCTTCTTGTCGCCCCCCCCCCCCCAGTTTCTTCCCGCGAAAGAAAACGAAAGACCGCCCGTCGTCGGTTTTCCACCTCCGTGCAAAAACCTTTCGACGACCCTTCCCTCCCCCCCCCTCCCCTTCCTTCCCCACCGCCCCTTCCATTATCCGGCATTTAACACGTGCATTCATCTCTGCGCGAGCTTCGATGCTTTTCGAACTGAACGAACACCGAAAAGGTGCGCGTGTCTGTCTGGTTCGAAACAGTATCGAGGCCAGAACGAAAGTCTCCAAAGTTTCGCCGTTCTCGTCGTTCTTGTCGCCGTTGCCGTGGTAGTTAGATGCGAAAAGCACGAAACGAAGGTAGTGGAGGTGGAATTTTTTTTTCTCTCGTCAATTTTTCTCGCGTCAATTAGTCTGGGATAATTGGTCGGGCGATGCCCTTGAACCCTAAGTATTGATTGGTGAGGTTGGATTCTGCCGTTGGGTTTCCCTCTTGCCTCCGAACCGATGGCACCACCCCTATGCATCCACCGTCGAACCAACCAACTACCCACCCACTCCCTAACCCCTGCACCGGTACCCGTACTACCCTACCCTACCCATCGCCCAATGTCCGTGGTTCTCCAAGTCCCACCGCCGCCTCCGCCGTCGTCGCCGTCGTTTGTTAAAGCATCGCGCCTTTCCAAACGCTTCCTTCCTTCCTTCCTTCCTTCCTTCCTTCCTTCCTTCCTTCCTTCCTTCCTTCCTGTCGTTTGTTAAAGCATCGCGCCTTCTTCCTTCCTTCCTTCCTTCCTTCCTTCCTTCCTTCCATCTCTCCTTTCTTCCTTTCTTCCTATCTTCCATGCTCTTTCTTCCCTTTCATTCTTAATTCGTTTAATTGAACCGCAAAAAGCAATTCCATTGTCCTGTATCTTTTGCACTGGTTCGTATTCTTATTTATCCAAAACCCCCCGAGGTGGAAAAAGAGAAAAATTGTCCGAATCGTTTCCACTCTTAACGGCTGTAGCATTGGAAGATTTTTTACAGAGTCCGCTTCTACAGCCGAATTGTGAAGCTCGTTGGTATGGCATCTCCTGTTCGAACCATAGTACCCTTCGCGTCAAAATGATCGCGCCATCGTAGCCGCAGCATGCGCGTCCAACGTGGAAGTTCGATCACCCTGCGACCAATACCACGAAACTCACGGCCTATCGAGTCCAAAGATTCGCGGACATTTCGACCAGCTTATACGTATCCTCGCAGCGAAACTAGGGGATGGTATAAAGTGCGAAAGAAGGAAAGCGAAATAGTGGGGAGGATAGTGAGGAGCAAGAGAACGAGAGAGAGACCCATAGAGCAAAAGACAGGATGTGTATGTGGAAACGGTTGGAAGTCATATCGGTGCCGGTGCCGTCGCGAGTGCCGAGGAGAGGATCGGAGGTTGGGGTGGTCGATACGGCCCTGGGGCCGCGACAGCCGCGTCGGAGGCCTCCCCATTCTTCCTGCGGGCGTTTTTGCCTCCACCCCTCCCTTCTCTCTCTTTCTCTCACTCTCTCCAGTTTGCTCCCTCTTCCACCCTCCCATCCCTCTCTCTCCAGTTATAGTTCTGTTCTTTTCTCTTGCAAGCTCACCGCTGTGAACCTAGTCCTACCCGCCGCCGCCACCCACTTTTCCACCCACGCTCCACGTTTCCAACCGCCACCAACACCCCCGGCACAGCCTGCCTAAACCCCCACCTGAACCTCCGCTTCCATCGTCTAACTCTTCCTCTGCTTTCTCACCCCCTCCTAGCCGCGTCGTTACCGCCGCCGCCACCGCCACCACTGCCGCCGCCGCTCTCATACTGCATGTCCCCTTGCCGACCCCGCCTAATCGCACCACCCCTGCCTTGATTAAAGAACAGAGAGCCTCAACTTCAACGCGGACCTCGGTCTCGTTCGTTCGCTCGCTCGGTCGTTCATTCGCTCCTTTCGTTTCCTCCTTTTCACCTTTATTTCGGCAAATTTTCCATCCCGTTCGTATTCGTTCGTTTCCATTATTCGCCTCTGCAGTTTAGGTACGATGTCATAAACACGTGGATGAACAGAGAGTGGAAGGAAAGCAGTCACGCGGAAGTCTCGTTCGCCCTCTTTTCTCATCCTTCGCGTCACGAGACTCTCTCCTTTCCCTTCCTTACTTCTTTACCCGTGTTCGCCCCGTACCCATGCTCCTTCCTTCTCCTTCTCCTTTCTCCCTCTCTTTTCTCTCCTCTACCTATCTATGTAGTTTCCCTTACGCACCGGTTTCAAGGTTAAGATCAGAGAAAGTGGGAGAGAGAGAGAGAGTGAGAGAGAGGTGGGGTGAATGTTGTAGGACGTCACGCTGCTCGATACGGGTCGACGCACTATGCCGGTGAAACGTCGTCGCACGCCGAAACTGGATCGCGAAAACTGATTTTAGACCGAGCCACCGTACCGGAGACGCCGACTGCAAGATGAAACCATATCCGTTTAAGCGAGCCGTAAGGATGACGAGCTTTTACCAGAAATATGCGAATCGGCCCGGCCAGTCCCTCTTTCTTTCTCCTCGTCCCTCACGGAAAACGATTTATCCATATATTCGGCTACTTTTTATTTATCCCTCGTCCACGGTGTGATTCACCATCAACATCGCTACGTGAAACTGCTTCGATAATCGCGCGGCCAGTTACACTCTACAGGATTCTAATTACTCGGGCTTTAGGTGATTATCCGTAAAACGGGGAGAGGATACCTTCTTCTCCTTTGAAACGTTGTTGGTGGCTGGGAAAACGCGCGATATTTTGCGACGGTGGAAAAGTCGTGGAGACACGCGGTGACTGTATAAGCAACTTTTCAGGCATCTGCTGGTGTGTGTGTGTGTTGCAGTCCCTGCTGAAAACAGCCGATCAGCTGAAGATCAAAGGACTCTGCGAGGTGCCGGAAAGCAGAGACGGTCCACCATCGGTGAGTCTTAGTTCACCGCCGAGAGAACCTGGCACTCCTAGGATAAATTTTACGAAGCTGAAGAGGCATCATCCGAGATACAAGAGGGCAAGGACAACGTTCGAGCCTCGCGCGACCGACTCCAGGCACTACGACCGTTACAAAGAGGAGGAATCGAACGAGGACTATAACCTGGAGAACAAAGAGGTGAGCATTGGCCTGAATTACTTTACCGCGTAGGGAATACCGCGCGACAGAGAGCTGTCCTCCGAACGATCTCGTCACGGTCGTCGCTAAATTCGTGCCGGATATTTCGCAGAACCACAGAGACTGGCAACCCGAAGATGAAGAGTGCACGGAGGCAACCACGGGACCAGTAGTCTTGGAAACTTGGCAACGTAACGCCAACAGCACCGGCATCGCCACCACTACCGCCACCACCACCACCACTACCACGACCACCACCACCGCTACCAGCAACAATAGTAATAACAACAGTAGCGGAAACAGCAACGGTAACAGCACGAACAACAATAATAACAACGGTAGGTAGTCAATGGAGAATACGGGCCCCATACCTGAATCCGACATTTTTTTTCCTTCGCTTCTCCCGCGGCCACGGTCTATGTCCTTTCTCGGTAACTCGCAATTCCTGTGAGTGAGAGAATTGGCGGAAGTTCCGAAGGGAGGATTACAGGTGTGGGGCGACTTACCGGTTCACGGCAACACGCGGGGCAGATCGTTTTCACTTTAAGTAAAAAGGTGACATGTTCTGTCATACAGGCCTCGGTCATTACGGTCATCATCCGGATCCCGGGGAGGTTGATCTACCTCCAGAAACTCAACCTACACCACCGAGTGCCACATTGGTCGGTACCACCATCACCCATCTAAGAGACCCGGATCATCACTCTACAGGTGCGCTGCTGCTCTACCCTACTCCCCGGACAACAGTTCTTATTCCCCTGAACGTCGATATTATCGTGTTTAAATACGTATAAATAACCGGTGCGCTCGTATGCAACCGCGTGAATCGTCTAAGGGGGTGGAGAGGTGGGGGTGGAGGTTGGAGGGCCAGGGAGGAGAATAAAACCGTGGTTGGTCATTAGACAGGGAGGGAATCAAAATAATTGGTCTAATCGGGCTTAACTAGTTGCGATTAGATTTGCGTTGCTCCGTTCGTAACAGCCCACGCAACCTCGTTTAGTGTGCGCATTCAACTTCGCCTTCGATGGCGCTTCTTTCGCCGACTGTGCGACATCGTGTCCAGGTAAAGAGAGAGAGAGAGCCTGGTGAACGCGTTTAGAGAGGCCGCGTGTCAGATACCAGCCAATTCGATTCAACGTACCTGCCTGCATCCGTTTCTGCTACCCCGCCCCCTATTCAGAGTTTCAGTTTTCCGTTTTTCAGAGATTCAGAATTGCGACAGTGTAAAGATCAAATTCGAAACGTTACACACGATGGATTCCTCAGACACGATCGACATCGACAGCCACATGTCGGACCGGGCAAGTGTCAGTTCGAAGAATGCGGCCGACAGCGACAACATGATGATGATCACGCCTGAATTGTTGGGATTAATGCCTTCTGGGAGTTCCATTCACTCGGATTCCGGTGAGAACAACTCGAGGGGTCATTCTGGACAGTCGAGCTCTCATCATCATGGCTCGAAATCGTGGACTCAGGAGGATATGGACGCCGCTTTGGAAGCTCTGCGAAATCACGATATGAGCCTTACGAAAGCTTCCGGTAATTCAACCACACACACACCACCTCTCTCTGCTTCTTTTACACAATTCTTCGATAACGTTTCTTTCTTATACACGCTTACGAACGATTCTGTATCGTGATTCGATCGGTTTTCAGCTACCTTCGGTATACCATCGACGACATTGTGGCAAAGGGCGCATCGACTGGGCATCGACACCCCGAAAAAGGACGGACCCACCAAGTCGTGGAGCGACGAGAGTTTAAATAACGCGCTCGAAGCGTTACGAACAGGAACGATATCGGCTAACAAAGCATCGAAAGCGTTCGGTATACCATCCAGCACACTTTATAAAATCGCGAGGAGGGAAGGCATCAGACTAGCTGCACCTTTCAACGCCAGTCCTACCACTTGGTCGCCCGCCGATCTCGATCGCGCCCTCGAAGCGATACGCTCCGGTCAAACGTCCGTGCAAAGAGCGTCCACGGAATTCGGTATACCCACAGGAACGTTGTACGGTCGATGTAAAAGGGAGGGAATCGAACTTAGCCGAAGTAATCCTACACCCTGGAGCGAAGATGCTATGACCGAAGCTCTCGAAGCTGTCAGGTAAATTACCATCTTCTCCCCTCTTCTTCCTCGTTCTTTTTTTATTCTTAGTACTTATTATCTTGTACCACCATTTGTTGGATAAATAATGTTTGTACTAACGAAAGACGCCTGTATATATATATAAATACCTATCGTATTTGTCACAGGGAGAAAACGTGAAAAACGTGTGTTTTGTTTGCTCGCGATTTTTCAGATTAGGCCATATGAGCATCAATCAAGCGGCCATCCACTATAATTTACCGTACTCCTCTTTGTACGGTCGTTTCAAGAGGGGAAAATACGAGGAACCGGCGGTCGGCGATCTATCACAAGACGGTAGCAGTCCTCACTTCCATCAAAGTCCGAGTCAGAATCATTCGTCCGCCGTTCCAGATCAAATGCCCTACCAAGGCAGCTGAAACTTGCCTCTCTATTAGAGTGGTTCAAGTTTATTCGCAATCTTCGGGGTTCCTCACTGAACAAACGCGAACACGAACACGACAAAAGCCACCGACCAATAAACGCGCGTTACACGGAACAATTGGCGAATTCTTCTCGACGATTTACAGCCGGAAGCAGGGACTTGTGGCGTCGCGAAGCGACATACGATCACGAGGGGGTGAGCTGATCAGGGCCGGCCGACCGGATAGGCACGGGGGGGTGGCTCACAGTATTACAGATGAATTATCGTAACCGAATATTATGTATATTCTATGATTTTCTCGCGTCGAATCGGAATCGTACGATTAATTATAATTTATAACTATTTATAAAGAAAGAGAACAAAACACTGTACAGTCGGGATAATCCCGGTAAACCTACTGTAGCTTGTAAGTTGCCGATACGGGCCAATAAGGGAGGATATCAAATATTCGTTCGAAAAATCGTTCGATGCGTAACGCGGTTCCTTTCACCCTCATCTTCTATCGTTTCTCTTTTTTCTTTTTCTTACGTCTTCTCACGCGGCTATTCTCCCTTTGACGCAATCTTCGCAATTGCAAATCGAATTAAAGGATGGACATTCTCACGATTGTATTTCACGTTTTCGTACGATTAACATTTCTTAACTATGACAGATTTTCCGAACGATTTGTTCGCAGAAAAACCCAGGTGGATCGTACACCATCTTTCTGTCGTTCTTTCCGCGTTTACATTACCAGAACTGCAGACAACGATACGTACTTTCAAATAAACCGAATAGAATACGTTCAACTGTGGAAAATGATTTTTCTCCCAGGGAAACGTAAACGAGAAAAATGCGCGGTGCATTTGCATATTTGCAGATCGATTTCTCGAGAAAACAAAGATACCTTCCTCGTTCGACTAAACTGCCACGTGTAAAAATATCTTATACCTATTACTAATTTATCATGCTCACGACTATTATATATAGAAACATATGAATATATACTACTTATAAATATATGTACAGTTTATATATTTTAAATTAAAAAGTAATGCGATCAAACAAAATGTTTACATATGCCCATCAATGCCCGTTACTTTTCGCCGTTCAATGTCGATAGTTGTTGCGTTCGTTTTGAATTCTTCGTTGATTTTACAACAAAGTAGCATAAAAAATTGAATAGAATCTATCATACGTATTTACATATACACAGCCTTTTATCTAGACCTTTGAACGATTCGATACGAAGATGATGGAAAAAGATACATTTTTCAAAGCTGTTACACAACTTTGACGTTGCATGCACGCCGATAGAGGTGCTGTACGCGGAAATTTATGTTAACCGTATCCACCATCACCTATCTAATCGTGTCAACAAATAGGGCAGGAAAATATTTCACGTAAACTTTTTTGTAATTTACATTAGGGGCACGATCTTCCGTCTACATGCAGGCCCATATGGATAATTGTATTTTTTGTGATATCATAAGTAACAAGGCACCGAGTGAAAAGATATACGAGGTACGAGAAAGTTAACCTTCCTTGTTTGACAGGATGTCAGATATTTAACTCTACGATTCAGCTTAATGTCGGTATTTACGTGTAGCCTTTCATTTCTCTTGCGAAAAAGACTAAAAACAAAAAAGAACGTGACCTTATAGCAAGGTTACTATTTAAACTTCAAATATACATATTTTCATTACAGGACGATCACGTGACATGTATCAAAGATACTAATCCAGCTTCGACACATCATTATTTAATACTGCCAAATAAACATATACGTAATGCGAAAGAAATTAAACCAGAAGATGTTGAACTTTGTAAGTCTTGGGGATTAACAGTTTAATTCGCTTTTACCGCTTAGCATCGTTTCCACGTTGTTTACGAATTACGTTACTTTAGATGTATCTTTTAGATGACAGAATCGTCGCAACGGTGGATATTATTTTGGAAAAGCTGGGTTTAGATGCTGCAGCAACGCGTACCGGATTTCATTGGCCACCGTTTAATACGGTGCACCATTTACATTTGCATGTTATCTCTCCAATAAGTAATATGAACCTGGTTAAAAGACTTATGTTTGCACCCAATACTTATTGGTTTGTGAGTGTACGTATGACGACTGCTTTTAAACTTACATATCTATTTATTCACAGTTGATTTGATAATATCATTTTTCATATTTTATAGATGGATTATGTAAAATCTCAAATCAGTGGTAGCAAATTATGAATTGTATATTTTGAGTGGTTAAGGACACAATTCATAGTTGTAATATCTTCCCTGCCACAAAGGTAAACCTTTTTATTACATAAGTAGAACATTTTCTTCCAGTAATAATAGTAGAGTGGTGATTGTAATTAATCATGTCATGTGCCATATCACTAGAGATCTTGTAACTTACAAAAAGTAAATTTATGTTATGTATACATAGTACAATTTATATAAATACATGCATTCCATGTGTTTATTTATACCAATCGGATGGTTTTCTGGAAAAGTCCTTTCTTGTACATGTTTTCCCATTCATCTCCGTCTGGATATTTGTATTTTGCAATACAATCCTCTTTAAGTTTGGTCGAATAGCCCGGAGTGGTGGGCGGCATGTAACAAGCATTTTGAACTAACACAGGATGCACAAAATGCTCGTGCTGTTGATCGACGTATTCTATTATACGGTTTTCCGTGGATGCGCTCAAAGAAATGAAGTCCCACATTTGAAGATGTTGAACCATTTCGCACAAACCTATTCCACCGGCATGCGGGCAAACTGGAACTAATTGTAAAAACGATTGTGACACAATATTCTGTTAGTTTCTTTTTTCTACTTTTCTCCTATACGTATGTATATCATTTGCGTAATGTACCTCTTAGTTTCTTAGCCATGAAATACACAGATAATATCTCATTGATTCCTCCTATTCTAGCCGAATCGATTTGACAGTAATCGATCGCTTTTGCCTGCAACAATTGCTTGAACATAACACGATTAGCGCACATTTCACCAGTGGCGACACCGATACCCAACGGTCTCAACGCAGTTGCGATCGTTGCATGTCCCAAGATATCATCCGGAGATGTTGGCTCTTCAATCCAAACTGGATGAAATTTGCTCAACTGTTTCATCCACTCTATCGATTCGTTCACATCCCAAACTTGATTAGCATCTACCATCAATTTATTTTTCTCGCCAATCATGTCGCGTATCAATTCGCATCTTCTTATATCGTCCTTTATATTTTGCCCAACCTTTGCCTTGAAACTTGTGAAACCAAGGTCTAAATATTTCCCGCAAAGCTTCTTCACTTTCTCATCGCTGTACCCAAGCCAACCAACTTGC